GTGTGTCTTTTACACAATTTAAATGGTGAAGCTTTGCGCTCTAAAACCCTGCAGCAGGACGTTCCGGTGCGTCGCCTCTTTAAGATGTCAAATGCAAACCTTTTGATTTAAACTCAAACTTGTAAACGGTGCAGGAATGCAGGGAAATGGGATGTTAGCGGCACCAGATCTTGAGGACACCTGGACCAAAAACAGTGCGACCGGATCAACAAAGAGAGAACCAAAGTCAGCGTTACATCAAAATCTCTGTCACTGAGCAGCTCCGGTAGTTCCAGTCTCTGATGGATCCACAGCAACACAAAGACTCCACCTACTGGTGTAGACGTGCAGGTGACTCACTGTGAAGCAGGTCAGAACGATTCATGTCAACACTCTGCTGCTGTGGACAACTTTTACCTTTAATCTCAACTGATCACATACGCAGGACCCGGGGAGGGAAAAAGGTGTTTTTTAATGAGAGACTGATTTACTTTAACATATTCTATGTGCTGTTGTTTTATGTGAAAGCTACAAGCTGCATGTAAAAACGTAATAACGTGTGAAGCTTGTGTGGCCTCAGAGACACACAGAAACGCATCATTTAACATATTTTTTCAGACTCTTCTGTGTCATCGACAAATTTCATGTTTGTTATAGTTCTGGAAAACCTTTAAAAAGACTTCCCAGGTGAGACGTGTTCTGAGGGTCACATATCAGAGCTATGAAACATGTGAAATCAGCCAAAACATTTTGCAAAAAAACACACGAGTAAATTTTGAACTAAAGCCAAGACGGTGCGGCAACAAATATCCTGTTGTCAAAATGTCCTGTTTGTTTCTTGTGTGTTTTTATTCTTTATTCTTCTTATTGTCATTGTTTCAGTGTGGAGCAGGTGATCAACACATCTCACTGAGTGTTGAACTGTGTGTTAATGTGTTTGTGACAAATTAAGGCCTTGAGCCTTGAATTCTGTCTGAACTGACTCACTGTGCGTTTACACGTCAGTTAGGCTGAAAGTTCACGTAAAGCTGGACTTTATTTCCATGTGAGTGATGTTTGCAGAGCTCTGCTGCTTCCTGGCATCCTCTGAACACAGTAAAGATCTGCTTCAGATCGAGGTGCGTCATGTAATAACGTCCCTCCTGCCCTTCAGAACAGAACCTGAAGGTTCCTGTTTGTACCTTTTGTGCCCCTTTACTGATATTATTTTCTTTAACTTCCACCTCTGCTTTAGCTGCTTTCTAATTTTGTCTCATGAGTTAAGTTTGACCAAAAGGTCAAATAAAAGCTGCAGAACTTATGATATAAAAATGTGCTTTTGAATGTGTTTTTGGGGGAAACACAAAGCAGGTGAACAGGATAAGAACTGATCAGTATAATATATGAAAGTTCACCGGTTGATTATTCAGAATAAGGCAGTGATTTTTATTGTTATAAAAGTTCTTAAATGTATGTTTAATTATGCAGATGAGGTGTTATCTGTCTGAATATGTGCCTGAACAGAAACCTGAATGTTCAAATATCTCTTTTTAACGCTCCAGTTTTTTTTCTCACCATGTTCTCATGAATAAAATGTTCTACAAACCAGATTATAAACTATATATGAATAAAACCGTCTGTAAACAAGCGGGACTAAAACTTATTTTATGGAAGTGCTGCTGAAGTGGAGCTTTGGGGTCCAGAATCACAGAGTTTCACTGTGTTTTTATCAATAACATGTTCCTAAATTAAACAAATAGAACAAGCTGCTCCGTAAAATCATTTAGAATCTAAAAGGAGAGGTTGGAGTCTCAGAAAAACCTCAACCTTTAAAGATAAGTTCTGTAAAATTCCACACATTTTTATTAGAGAAGATTAATTCAGTAAATCCTTCTAACCACAAAACTTCAAGACATATTTTTTGGTTCAAGTTTTATTTTTAAATACAGTCTATGTATGAAATTAGGTTGTTTATATGTAAAGAAAAGATAGAAAAATTTCTATAAATGTCGAGAACAGAAACGTGAACGTTGGATAAAGTTTAAGTTTCTTTGTTTTTATTTTTCTGACACGTGAGAATCAAATGTGTTACAGTTTCTGTTTTTATCTCTTCATGAATGAGTAAATACTGTAAACAACCAGAAAAATAAACACTTTTATGAACAAAAGGTTGAATTTAATGAGACAGTGAACAATAAGTTAACAGAAACACATCTGTGAGTAAAACTGGACTTCTGGTTCACAGAGGGAGGGAGAGGAGGAAAGGCTAATTCCTATCATGTTTTAATTCATAAAATATTCTAAAAGTCAGGCTGTGGATGATTTAGGAATAAACTCGTCTGATTAAAACCTCCAGAACACAGACAGGGTTGAAACTTAGACTTTCGTGTCTGCTGAGGTTTAGATTTTTGACTCAAAGTGAAGAAAAAAAAACTCATTTTGAACGAGAGAAATGTCAATAAAATAAAACAAACACCTGAATTTAGTGGTTTTCCTCTTGTTAGACTGAAAGCAGATGAAGCTCTTTGCTCGTCGCGTTTTGCCTGAAACAGAAAACACACACGAAAAGTCAGATCATCACACAGAATGAACGTTGTTGTCTTTAACAGTCGATGCTGCTGCGACACATTTACAGGATGAAGGACACCTGCTGAAACAACGATTCACTCCTGTGTGTTCAGAAAACAGAGAAAACATGACCAGGATCACTTCTAATTCTCTTCATGGTTCTTAAACATTGCTGCCACAGAGCGACTTTATATTCACAACACAACAAGAGTCTGTGTTTGTTCATCCGTCTCCGATTCAAACTGAGTTATTCAAACATTGAGGCACTAAATTAACGACACAAACTCGTACGTTTCACCTCTCGTGTCTCTACAGCATCTGAGTGTTGCGGGAGCCTGGTTTCAGGATCTGCAGGGTCAGAATGTGCTTCAGAGACTTCCTGAACCAGGGATAACAAAACACATAGATGACCGGGTTCAGACACGAGTTGAAATGCGCCAGCCAGATCTCGAAGGCCGCCGCGGACGCATCGACCGACGTGTCCTCCCCGGCCAGAGTCGGGTAGTAATACGGACAGAAGCAGATGAGGAACACAACCACGACGATGCCCAGAGTCCTGGCCGCCTTCATCTCCTTCTTCTTCACCGTCACCATCCCCGGGCGCTGAGCCGCAACCCGAGAACGCAAGCTGCGAGCCTGCGTCACCGCCACCATGAACACTCTCAGGTACAGGACTATGATGACGGTGATGGGGATTATGAAGGTGAAGACCAGGTCGATCACACCTGAGATATGATTGATAACGACCACGCACTCCCCGAAGCAGGAGTTGGACCTGCCGGGCTGCTCCAGGTGGTCGTGCAGGAGGAGCAGCCTGTAAAAAACCGAGCACAGCCAGCAGAGGCAGACGTAGAACTGCACCACTCTGTTGGTGACCTTGCCGGAGTATCCCAGAGGGTCGCAGATGGCCATGTAGCGGTCGAGCGAAATGAGAACCATGTTGGCGACGGAGGCGGAGGTGATGATGTAGTCGGTGATGTAGTAGAGGGTGCAGAGGACGTCTCCGAGGAACCAGCACGCCTCGATGTAGATGATCTCCACCGGCATCAGCACGAGGCCGACGAGGAGGTCGGTGACGGCCAGAGACAGGAGGAGGAGGTTGGTGGGACTGTGGAGCTGCCTGCAGGTGGAGGAAATCACCACGACACATGAAAAAGCTCATTAACCTGGCAGCAAAGACACGAGCGACGTGAAGCATCGATGCACACAAAAGCTACCAACAGTCTCACTACAAGTTATTCACATTCATTCTAGGATTTTGTTGTTTAGATCATGATATGTGCCTGAAGTGGGAGATGGCGATGATGACCAGCAGGTTCAGAGCCACGGTGATGAGCGAGATGGAGGAGAGCAGCACGTAGATCAGCATGGTGGCGGTGTACGGGTGGCTGGGCTTCTGGCAGGAGGAGTTCAGGTGAGGAACGCAGAGTTGGCTGCCCTCCGGGATCTCCATCGTCGGACTGGAGAAGCAGATCTGTCGCTCGGCTACTTTTATCCTGAGACACCAGAGTCCTCCTCCCTCACTCCTGACATCAGAACCTCCACACCTGCCCTCTCTGTAACTTCCACATTCAGTCCATCGCAAAGCATCACGTTATTAGAACAATTTCCTAGAATAAAATATGGATATTTATAAAGATAATTGTACATTTTTGGCTCGATATGTCAAATACTGTCCAAGATAACCTGTATTTAAAAATAATATTGGTTAATAGTTTAATTCTTTACAAATATGGAGTCATAGATACTATAAATACATCAATACTNGTTGTGGAAATGTCTCTATTACTGTAACAACAAACACACAAATCTGAGATCGCAAAGTAATGCCTTCAGTCTCTCAATCATTCTGTCTGTCAAATAGCTACTCTCCTGTCGATCAGCTATTCTAATTTAATGTTGTCTCTGCTGAATCGACAGGCAGGATTTTCTCTTCTGTTGTCTTTTCTGTCTTTTTGAGACACTAAACTCTTTAAACGTGGACGTGACACCTTTTCATGTCGATGTTAAAATCATTCATATTCATTCATTTATAAATAGCTGAACTGTTACAGGTCAGATGTGCTTCAGAATAAGTTCTGCTCATGTTCAAACGTTCTGCACATTCAGGCCATATCACACATGTGCATGTTTTGTAGGTGGATGAAAAAACACCTGTCGGAGGTATTGTTGCACCTGTTGTAGACTTTATAGTGTTTCTTCAAAATAAAAATCCTTTGCAACCTTCAGCAACTAATGTCTTTATTGGGGATACAAATGCATTTATTGTAACTGTTCCATCATCGGTGTCTCCACTGAAATCTATGCCTCCACAACGCTGGAGGATTTTACTCTGTGTGTGTCTCAGAATCACATGAATGCTCAGAGCTTTAGATGACGGCACCAGAAAACATAGTTTGAGTGTCTGTGCCTCAATATTAATGATATTTGGCTTTTCATCTGGAGAAAATAGCAACATTTATTGACATTTAATTTGAAATAAGGTGGAGTGTTTTGGTGCAGGGCCTTCATGAGTGTTGTCACCAACTGCAAAGTACAACATGTCCCTGTGGGGTCTCTCCACCCATGAATCATTGAAAAATCCTGAGGCCTTGGGCGACAAATTATTTTTCTAAATTCCCAGTTGAAAAACCCTCCCGACATTCAGTCAGTAGCAGCTGCAAAATGAACAGTCTTGGTCTCTGTGGATCAGAGACACGTGGAGGAATCTTGAAGTACAATCAGTCTGTGTGTCCATCAGCAGGTCAGAGTGAGATCTGAGAATCTGCAGCAAAAACCTACTTCTGACTAATGACAGCCGTAAATTAGAGAGTAAATAACAGCCTTATGATGCTGATGTGNGATGGATGGATGGATGATATTAAACTTAACCTACAACAGAACTGATGTTACAGGATTTATCTACTGGAGTAAAAAGTCCAATATTTGCTTCTGTATTGTCATGAAGTAGCAGAGAATGTAAATACTCAAGAAAAGAACCAATACCTCAGAGTTGTACTTTAGCACAGTACTTCAGTAAATGTACTTTATTACTTTACCCCACTGACTTTAACTGAGAAGATTTTTGTTTTAAAGTGTCCAATGTTGCTGCATCAGATTCCATAGATTTGAAATTGAGAGTTTTTAGAGCAGGTTCAGTCACATCAGCGTTATCAGGCTGTTATGAGGCTGACTCTCTAATTTATGGCTGTCATTAGTCAGAAGTAGGTTTTTACTGATTCCTCCACGTGTCTCTGATCCACAGAGACCAAGACTGTTCATTTTGCAGCTGCTACTGGCTGAATGTCGGGAGGGTTTTTCAACTGGGAATTTAGAAAAATAATTTGTCGCCCAAGGCCTCAGGATTTTTCAATGATTCATGGGTGGAGAGACCCCACAGGGACATGTTGTACTTTGCAGTTGGTGACAACACTCATGAAGGCCCTGCACCAAAACACTCCACCTTATTTCAAATTAAATGTCAATAAATGTTGCTATTTCCTCCAGATGAAAAGCCAAATATCATTAATATTGAGGCACAGACGCTCAAACTGTGTTTTCTGGTGTCATCATCTAAAGCTCTGAGCATTCATGTGATTCTGAGACACACACAGAGTAAAATCCTCCAGTGTTGTGGAGGCATAGATTTCAGTGGAGACGCTGATGATGGAACAGTTACAATAAATGCATTTGTATCCCCAAAAAAGACGCAAAAGTTTCAAAAGACTTTTATTTTGAAGAAACAAGATAAAAACGCAGCAGTAAATCTGACAGATATATTATTCTGAATGTGCAGAAAGTTTTGGGCAGAACTTTAACAAAAACACATCTGACCTGGAACAATTCAGGGATTTATAAAGGAATGAAAAATGAAAAGGTGTCACGTCCACGTTTAAAGACTTTAGTGCCTCAAAAAGACAGAAAAGACGACAGAAGAGAAAATCCTGCCTGTCGATTCAGCAGAGACATTACATGAGAACAGCTGATCAACAGGAGAGTAAATGAAGAGTTCATTTGCAAAAACAGAAAACTCCGTCTTCACAAACCTTCAGAAAACCCACTTTTCCATCGTCTACCTGAGACAATAACAAACTTATCTTTGTCATTTCTACTGAGTCAAATCCACTCAACTTCAGTTTGACTGATATGATCTCAAGCAAACAAGAAAAAAATGTGTTTCCTGAAAATCTACAAAAATGGAGTTTTCTGTTTTTGCAAATGAACTCTTCAAATATTTGACAGTTAGACAGAATGACTGAGAGCCTGAATGCGTCACATTGCTATCTCAGGTGTTTGTGTTTCACCAAAATGCAGGAAA